TGTAAAGCCACGCTTTCACCATAGCATGTGAATGTATCCTGAGTGGATTCCATTGTAATGCTGGTGGGGCTTAACTATTCTACCTGGGAGTACACTGTAACGGGATGTCCTGTGCCTCACAAGATGCAGGTTCCCCCGATGCTTCATGGGGCTCAAGCGAGCCTATTTGGTCTGGCCAATCCTGCTGCTGCTCCTGGTTGGTGCAGCCTTGACCGCTCTGCTGCCCCCCGCCGAGGACCGAGGAGGCGTCGGTGTCCTGGGAGTGTTGCGCAGGGCAGCGTCACCAAAGGAGACTCCCGCACAGGGCCACCGCGGTGACGGCACAGAGGAGGAGCAGAGGTTCACCATCGTCATTCAAACTTACAACCGCACCGATATTTTGCTCCAACTCCTGAACCATTACCAGGCAGTGCCTCACCTTCAACAGATCGTCATAGTGTGGAACAACATCGGGACGCAGACACCCCTGAAGTTATGGAACTCTTTGCGGCCTCATCCGGTCCCCGTGGTCTTCAATGAGCAGACGAGCAATCAAATGCGCAACAGACTACAACCGTTACCTGAGATCGATACTGATGGTGAGTACGTCTTTCAGCTTGCATATTGTGTATGCTTTGAGCTGTGGATATTAAATATGGATCGACCTATATGTTGTGCCTGTTTCAACCTTGTTTAAGTGGCGTTTGCTTTTTGATGCTTAGCCGTGCTGATGCTGGATGACGACACCCTGGTCAGTGTTCCTGACATCAGTTTTGCTTTCTCCGTCTGGAAGGTAAAAAGCTTCAGGGGACAATGTCGATGACAGTGATTCAAATTCTGTGTTTGAATTACATTGATAATGTAAACAAAGAAAATGCATCATCATCATCATGTGGTACTGCAGTGCACCATACACAATATGACTGACTTTTGTCCCGCAGCAATTTTCAGACCAGATCGTTGGGTTCGTCCCACGGAAACACGTCTCGACACCAGGAGGAGTGTACAGTTACGGCAGCTTTGAACTGCAGGACCCAGAAACAGCTGGAGGTGACAAGTAAGTCGTGCTCTATTTGTTATTATTTTGTCCATCTTATTGGCCTCTTGTTTGTTTTGGTCTTACTATGATGTGAAATGCCTTTTTTTTTTTTTTAAAAGAAATCCTTCTATCTTCATCCACTCACTGCAGATACTCCATGGTGTTAATTGGTGCTGCCTTCTTCCACCGTCGCTACCTGCAGGTCTTCCAGGACCAACCCAGAGCAGTCCACGCGCTGGTGGATGAAACACAGAATTGCGACGACATTGCCATTAACTTTGCTGTCGCGCTGTATTTGAGGGAGCACTCCGTAGGCAGCATCGACAAACCCTCCGGGGTCTTCGTCAAACCCGTGGACTTCCGCAACCTGGAAAAGGATGCCAGCAGCGGGTACCAGGGCATGTGGCATCGCCCCGAACACCTTCTTCAGAGATCCTACTGCCTGAACAGGCTGACGCAGATCTATGGCTTCATGCCACTCCGCTTCTCCAACCTGATGATCTCCCAGTTTGGCTTCCCCAGCTATGCCAACCACAAGAGCAGAGCTTGAGGAGCTGCCACACCGCCGACCGTTTTGGACTGAAAGAAGACAGACTCGAGTAACAGTCTGGTAAGTCTGTGTTTTGATTAATAACACCCGTCTAGGTGAAGGATTAGGTCGACACTGTTGATCCCAGCATGTGTAGGAAGCTCAATTTCAAATTTCACAGGGAAATTCTTCTCACATTTTGATGACATTATTGCAATAAAACAGTAGTGATAATATAGTGTTTCGAGCTCAAAGTGCTTCTCACAAGAATGTTTGATTGAAGTTTACCTGCTCAGTGTGTTGCTGCTGAGCAGTTCAACCATTGCATCTGCAGGACTATTGCTGACAATCAGCATTTTCTGCACATGGCCGAGTCTGATGAATCGTCCATATTTGATAAGGTAATAATCTGTATATTGTTACCAAAGCTGCCTTACCTTAACTGTGAACAGCCCTCCCAGTGGATTGTAGTTCTTTTGTAGCCAGCAGGTGTCAGTCTCAGATCTGCTTTTTACAATTTGCCTCTTTTGTAACCACGAGTTTACAGCGTTGATGCTGACTCGTTCAAATTCTTGTTTTATTACCTTTTTATAGTTGTTTATGGTAAGGGTAACTTCTCTGAGCTTGTGTACACGTCCCCAAACGTTTAAAATACTTGTTAGACGATGTAGATATTCATTTTCTCTACCTAAAGTGTGAATTTGTGAATAAAATAGAATTATTGCAGGTATTAAACGCATTCCAACAATCGTAATGTACAGTACTATGCATGCATGGACAATCGTTTGTAAGACTATCATGTGACTCTGTTAAATAAAGCCAACACTTTTTCTCTGAACAGAATTTGTGGATGAATTCCTAATTAGTTAATAAGTTAGTCCTGGAAACAGGTGAACAGAGGTCAGCATCCTGAGAAGCACTGAATGATTGAAGAATCAAGTGACGGGGCCAAATCTGTGAGTGGGTGGCGTCCTTGTTCAAAGTTTTTATTTTCAAAAGCCAACCTTAGTTTCCAGAGCTTCAAAGTAAAATGACTGACAAATGTATGCACCTTGTTTGTGACAAACATCATCGCCCCTTCTTTTTCTTCACCAGTGTGTAGAAGTATGAGTTCCCACTTGACAAAAATGATGAGGTAGGTAAGTTCTTGTTTCAATGAGGACTAATCCCCCCCCTTTCATTAAAACATAAATGCTCAGATTGTTGAAACTCCAGTTTTAATAGTAACATAAGATCAGCCCACAGGACTGTATATTACAATGATTCGGTCACTGAATCGTACCAGCACTCTGCTTTGTCCGCCCAGGCTTGTGCGAATGTTCTCAATAATATAAAACAGGTAAAATCCAACATGAAGGCTGAAGGTTAGACATCATCACATTATTCAGAGGTAGAGTGGTGATTTGTTTCGTAGCTTGCAGGGTATACTTGTAGAGCAGCAGATGTTATCAGTCTACACAGTAAACATCTGGATTGCAACACTAGGTACAAGGTCTGACCTGTTTTTTTCACATTTCAGGTCAGCTAGGTCTCAGTCGCCTTGAATGAAAAACTATATTTATTAATAAACTAACACCTGACACTCTTGGTGGATGAAAGTGTCCTTGTATATTCTGGGGTAACTGTGGACTCTAGTTCTTTCAAAAAGGATTCAAGAGACCTTGCACCGTCTCATTGTGGTCCAGGTCCACTACCACCAACCTCCTGGTCTGGATCCACCGGCGCCTGGAGAACGCATGTCATGCCACAGCTTCACAAAGGGCTCCCTCTTCCTCCAAATCAGCTTGTGACCGTATGCCACATACCATCTGTAGGGCAAGATGCATGGAGATGGTTAAAATGTACTACAAAACCGCATAATATTAATACACAATAACATTGTTTGAGAAGATTTATGCCACTGTAAGTAGCATAAACCTGAAGTTTTAGCTACAACAATGTGTAAAAACATTTTATAATAACTTGAATAACAGAATCAAAGTATTAATATAGCCGTTTCATGTGATAACAGCTTATGAGTGACTTAATCAGCTATTATCTTGTGACAGAAATTCCATACTTGGTTCACAATGGACCTTTTGGTGAGATTGTTTTCTGCTGTTAAGAATGAACTCTGAACCTCAGCTACAAGAATACTTTTAACTCTTTCACTGCATTTCTTACAATTTAGGCCCAACCCCAAACTTTAGTCTCTTTCACTGCATCTGATGTACTTAGAGGATGAAAGTAAGACTCGGGGTCATTACATTCTCCAATATGAAAAAACTAACAAAATGTATTATTGTTTGTGGCCCATCATTTATCTGGAGAGTTTTTAAATCTTTCTTCCTTACAAAAAAAAACACAAATACATTGTTCTTAATGTTAGAGGAACATTGGCCACTCACACTCCAAAGAGGGCTCCTCCAAGGTGAGCTGCGTGGTCAAACAGCCGCCATCCCAGTATGAGCCCTGCTGTATCTATGGCAACAAGCGCTTTCAGAGCCTAAAGGCAGACCAAGGACAGGAAGTTAAACTCAAATATGCAGACGTAAATCAACAACAACCATCTCTCTGTCATGCACTCAGACATCCGTGCTTACACATCCACTCACTCACTCACTCACACACACACACACACACACACACTCACACACTCACACACACACACACACACACTGGACTTTGTCTGTTTTGCTGATTGAGTCACTTACGTTTCCTGCAGTGAAAGTGATCATGGGGAGGAAGAGTATGCCCAGTTTGGCCTCTGGCATTTTTGCACAAACTGCGGCCAGTACTGCCATGACGGCACCTGACTATGGATCAAACAAAACACAGGTCAACACATTAAGACTGCTGTGCTGCTGTGTTGAGCTGTGGGAAGATTTGAGCAAAACTCTTACTGCTCCCAGGGATGGATGGAGACGTCCAGTCGCAGTTTTACACATGTAGCTGACCATGGTTGAAATCACACCTGAAAGTACACGTTATGATTGAGATGCCACTCAGTATGCAATTAATTGTATGTCTTGAAGATTAAGTTATTTATAATGTGTATTACTTTAAACATTGAAAGCTGAACCTAAATAGATGATGTACGAGATTATTCAATGCAATGTTATTAGACCCTGTTCTTCATTTGACTTACCGGCAGAGAGGTAGACTGCAAGAAACTGCTCCTTGCCTAAGAGAGAGACGATTCCTGATGAGAACGTCCACAGGACATACATGTTGGCCACCATGTGGACAATGGAGTAGTGGCTGAAGGAGGACAGGACCATGGGAAGGTACCGTGTTTCTGGAGGGGGAGAGAATAATGAAGAGAGAAATTGATCATGGTCAGTGGATCCGGCTGTAAATTATACCCATGCAGGAAAAATTATTGCCCTTGCTGTCCTTGTGTAAGCACTTTGATATATTTATTTAATATTTAAAAAAAAAAAACAACTGGTAGAACATGTGTACTCACTGGAAGCTGGGTTGGCCGTGAAGTACTTTATCATGGTTCTTTGCATTGAAGGGATCCGCCAGCAACACAGGACTACAGCATTTACTGCAATGATGCCTGGAAAACAGTAATAAGGATAAGTGACAGTGAAGAAATGTGGGATTAAATTAAAGGCACGTAAAGATGCTGATGCTAATCCATGCAATATGAAGGAACACGGGGACAAAATGAGTCTGTGTCTGCAAAATGAGTTACCGGTGACGATCTTCTGCCCCTCTGTGAGGCTGCTCCAGAAGTCATCCACCATCGACACCAGGAGGATGAGCTGCTGCTGGAAGCCTGACAACTGGTCCCACCAGTCATGCCAGTACGTCATGTCCTGAGACCCCTGTAGTGTATCAACGCGTCATTGAATCATTGTTAGCAGCCTATTCGTTACATACAGTATATATATATATATACTGTATATACGTTGACAGCAGTGGAGGAGAGCCAGCAGTTTGTGTCACTAAAACCTCACCTGTAAGAGTTTTTCTGACTCCGCTTCCTCTTTTGCATTCCGAACTCTTAACTTCAGAGTCTCGTATTGCAGAATGGCCGCTGCACCAAAGGAGCAACCTGTAAACTGACATGGAGTCAGACAGCAACCAAGCAAGCAATGCCGTCACACACTGTCCCAAACCTCAGTGTTGCATGCATCATTCTCCTGCTAGTAGAAGAGTTGGAGGACCTACCCCTACTGTGAACATCAGCGGTTTGAAGAGCGACGGCCTGGGGACTTTGGGAGGAGGTGGGGGCGCTGGCCTGCCAGCCTCAGAGGGAGTAGGTTTTGTTTCCTGGGTGACATTTCCTTTCTTTGTTTCCAGCCTTTTGGCTTCCCGACGGAAACCACACCTCTGTTGGTTCTGTGGGTTCAGTCTGCCAAAAAACAAAACAAAAACACAGTATTAAAACTGAATTTACAGATGTGGTAAATACATATAATGTATGGCAAAGCTTGTAATGTTCATTTTATCTTGAGGTATAGATTCACGTATTTGTAGGGCTGAAACTAATTCTTATTTTTATTATTTATTCACGGTTTGGTTTTTGAAAGTAATTTGTGACAAATGCAGATCACAATATCCTGCAGCCCACAGCGATGTCTTCAAACTGCCCGTTTTGTCTGACTACAGTCTAAAACTAAATATATTAATATGACCAACAACTCTTTTGTTTACCCTGCTGGTTTAATAAAAGCACTAAAACTATCTGTGTATCAGTGATGTAGCTATTCTATGTCAGTAGCAAGCAGGCTGGGCTGTTGGTCAAAACTATAGTTATTTACTTACGAGTCTATAGAATAAGCTAAACATTAGGCTGTAGGAACATCTGGACATTAGTTGTGCTGCTCGATCTGTTCAAGGCAGATACAGATACCACGCTGTACATTTATACTGTAAACAGATGTAATAAGTTATATAGCTGTGTGCTTCAGTCCCGTGAATCTCTTTACAATGACAGTGGGAACAGTTAGGTAATCACACACTGCACACACACACGTCCTGTCAGTGTTATTCCTGCTAAAACAAACCATGCGACCTAAACAGCTTTACGTCTTCTCACCTGGTGCTTCGTGAGGTAGTGTTGGTGGATCGGAGGAACTCTGTTTTAGCCCATTTCATTACGCATCCTCTCCACGCCATGTTTGAGATGACCTCCTGCCTGAAGCCCATCCCACTGCACAGACTGGGAGCTAATGCTGCGTTCAAGGACCCGTCTAAAAGCTCCGACGTCTGAGATCCAATCAAGGGCTCTTGGTTTAACAAAGAGTAGGCTTGACTATATTGTTTATATTAGGTGCAAATAAAAATGTATTGTTATCTATTTGTTTGGTTAATGTATTGCGTATTTATTGTTGAGTTTAATGTATTTCAAAGGCCCATCTACGGATGGGCAGTTCAACAGTGCAGATTATTTTAGGCTATAAATGCTGTGGTGTGTTGCACTGGTTTATCTGAGATACTTGTCCCTATGCAAATAAACATATATACATATAGATAATGTAATTATTTGTATATGTAAGTATACCGGGCCAATAAAGTTAAAAGCAGCTGAGGGTACTGTGTTGTGCAGGCAGTACAACATATTTGTGTTTTTCCGAAGGTAACACTTCACTTCCCTCTAGTGGTGTATGGAAGTACAGATTTGCCAGATGCCAATGAAGAAAGTACATTAAAAGTAATGAACTGAAAAGTACAGTTTCTAAGTACTTTCGATTTTGTGCTATTTTAAACTTTGACTCGACTACATTTCAGAGGGAAATATTGTACTTTTTTACTTTACTACATTTATTTAACAGGCTGTGGCTATGCAGAACTGATGATCAGTTTCTACACAGCAGGAACACAATAGGGAAAGCATAAATAAATAATAAAAGTAAAGATTTAACTACCAAACAGTATATAGAGCAACTCAAATTACACATTAATTCACCAGTAATACTAATTGAATAATGTAACATAATAATATCACTCTGACACTTCTACACAATAAGTACTTTTACTTTTGATAGTTTAAGTTATTTTAACACGTACTTTTACTTGAGTAAAATTTAGTATGCAGGACTTCTACAGAGTATTTTTTCTTTGTTGTATTGATACCTTTACTTAAGTAAAAGTTCAAAAATACTTATTCCACCACTGAAGATCGATTAGAAGTGAAGAAAATACATAAATGAATGTAAAACCTTTGAGCATATATAGAAGAATAAGAAGACGGAGGGATTGAGAACACCGTAAAAATATATGACAATATATGATATATATATATATATGAATATATGACATATTCTTCAGTGTCAAAATATTAGTAAAAATATAATACAATTGCTCTTATTATTATTATTATTATTATTATTAAAACTAAAACCTTTGGTGACCACACTGAAATTTGTTTTCATGAAAACAAGAGAGAATGCAGTCGAAGCCCTGGACTAAACAGTATTGATGGTGTTGCTATTGGCATCTGGACAAGTTCCACAAACTCCTCACAAGCTTGCCAGGGACTCCAGAAATAGGTGAAGAAGGTAGAATTGACAGTGAGAAGGCTGCACTGCAGTGTCTGCAGAGCAACTAGGGCTCTCCTCCAATGCAATATCTGCACTCGGCTTGCTGGGCTATTATAGCTATATAGACAATATTGCACAAAGAAATTCCGTAGATATAGACAAGAATAAAACAAGTTTAGGAGTAGGTAGGTAATTAATCTTAGCTGAGGCAGACAATGCGTTCAGTAGGGACATTATAATACAAGCCAATTATGTAGTTATACAGAAAAGTGTAAAGGTTTCAGGCTAAAGATAACAGTGTACAAAGACAGAAGAGCACGATGCCTTTGCCACTGAATGGACCCAAGGACACGCCGCCTAGTTAGATGATATCCTACGGGTGCAGGTCTGGGGCAAGGGAGGACAGGGAGATGTGGGAGGGCAGGAAGAGGAGGAGGAGGAGGGATGAAGAGAGCAGAGAAGCAAAGGGAGGGATGACAGGAGTGAGCACAGGACCGATTGAGGCGAGGAGGCCAAAAAAAAAGGACCAGAAAGGGTAGAGTGGACGAAAAGAGGTTGAGAATCATAAATATTTAAGTGGCTGCATAAGTTAAAATAGATAAAAAGCTGTTAGGATTTTTGGTAAAAGAGCAATACGATGCATCGGCCCTGCAATGCAACGACACAACCCTCACACACACAAACACACACACACAATCATCTCTCTCTGAATCTGTAGAGGACTATAGGTTATTTTCTGGTCAATGCAGTGCATTTTTTGTTCCCCCAGAGGTGTCCTCTTTCGGGTGCCCTCATCGATTTGCTGTGAACCGACGCCAGCCAGGATTTTGCCTGTGTCAGGGGCCTCGGTCACGTGACAGGAAGTATCTGAAGTCAGAACAACTTGTCATTCATGTAGGACACTCATTTATCTTACTGCAATTACAGTATGTCCAGAAAGAGAGAATAATAAGGACACTCTGACGTTCGGCTCCCATGTTGGTGATTTGGACCCACAGGCAGACGCATGAGGCTGAACGCCATTTGGCCTTGAGGCTTCTATTTCAGCCCAAAGGATAGAAACATCTTATATGAGCAGCACAGTCTTTTTATACCATCAGAGGAAATTCTAGCTGTTATCATAGAGTCCCATCAGAATGCTGACGGCGAGCTTTCCATGACGCTGATCAATGGGCGAGTTAGACAACACCACTGTGACTTGTTGTCTGTTTTGTTCCTGCATTTGGAGACCTGGCGGTCAGAGTGTGACCGTGGCATTCTTCGGGAAGCAGCTGATTTACATTAATAAGCTGTGTGAAGTGGACACTGAGTGGGATTTTAGATAATTCTACCACTGCAAAGTCCTGATGTTTATTTTACCCAAAACACCCCAGAGGATGACAACATCAATCTCTCACTATTCTGTGTTTTTTTTGTTTTAATTTAAGATTTAAAAAATAAATTGCAAACAAAACAAAGATGAGAGCAGCACACTCTTATGCACACACTGTACCTTATATCTGCCCCGGCAATTCACACTGAGTTGATAACACAATACGAGCCACTTCCTCCAGAGTGCAAAGCACAAACCCATTACAATGGAAGAGTCAGCTCATTCCGAATACACAGTGCAGTGTTTGTATATGTACACAATGTCCGTCGGAATTCTACTGCAGTATAATCAAATAACAGGCACAATAAAGAGTCAGATGCTCAGGACAGAAATATTGATTTGTGATTCATTCATTAAATATTGATGTCTCTTGGCAAAATATCATCTACCTTTGCAGAACAGTAAAGCAACATGGTAAGGTATGTGGGCAGCAGGTGTGTGAGGACAGAGCTCACCATAGGCTGTTAATTCAGAAGTAAGCAAACATAGTCTCACTGGCATGTCCTTAAGTATTGCAGATCTTTTTCATGAAACTAGTCCTGACACACCAATGATAAAAAAAATTGCAATTGCTGTACTAATTTGAGGTATAAGTTTGCCAATTTTGTCCCAAAAACCTAGAAAAGAGGATGAGATGGAATATTAAAGTATTCTGGTTTCTCTATTATAAAGTGCATGTTTGGCAACTTTTCTTGTAGACATGAAAGTCTGTAAATCGTATACGCAGCATTCGCAGCATTCTAGATCTGGATTGTATGAATGTGTGGTGTCTTGAAAGACCATGCAGGCTGGGCTTATCGCGCATGGCACTGTAATCAATATTATTAAATACATATTCAATTTGAAGATGTTTTGAATAGAAAAAAACAGCATTGATCAGGGTTTATTTATGCAACACTTTTGTCAGCATAAATCATCAGCACGAATTATAAGCGTGCTGGTTTGCAAGGAAATTAAAAAAAACTGGCAGTGTTTCAGCCCAGCAGCGACAGAAAGAGATCCAGACAAAAAAACATCGACTGTACTCCTGCATCAAGACACAATGCACACCCTGCATCCGCTCTCCCCTGCAAACACACACACACACACACACACACACACACACACAGTCCCAACCCTCCTCCCTCGTTCTTTACCTGAACCCTCAGTTCACCTTACTCAGAAACTCTTGCGAACACGAAGCGATAAGCACGAGCTCACCGAAGAGCTCTGCATCCGGTGTCGCTTTCGTGCGTTTTTAGGTGGGGGGGGTCCCCATAAGGAGCTCATTTTGTAATCTATTACTTTAAACAAGCAACTTGCCTCCCTGCCCTGGTCTGCTGTCCCAACTGAAGAAGCGAGCGCGCGCCACCTCCAAGCTCCAAACGCAATCCTCCAGCCTACGTCGGCAATACGATCAACTTCTGCACCGCAAGGGGACATGGGTGATAAACACGCCGGTAAGGAACTTCCACGCGCTCGTTTATGAATAAGTTATGAGCTTGCTATCGTTGCTTATTTGTGTGGCGTCTCTGGTGCACAGACTGCGGAACACAAAGAAAAAGCCTTAACTTTGTTAGTAAATCTGCAGCAGAGCACCATAGAGTTAGGATGCACTTTCATAGCCCGGGTTAGAACTTCAGCGGACGGATGCACGCGCATGATGCTGTGCATGCCTATGTGTGCGTTAACCAGCTTCATCATCAGCACATGCTCCGGTGCTGCTGCAGCGCGATGCTGCTGCCGCTGCACCCCGGCTTCACAGCTCAGTCTGCAGCCTCCACTAGTTTGCTTTAACCGATTAGAAAACCTTTCCAGCACGAGGTGTAAAGAGTTAACAGCACTATTAAATCAGGCCATAATGTAGGCCTGTTGAAGAAAACATCTTATGGCATGCAACTTGTGCAAATACTAGGCCTGCATTACAGTGTTTGCACCCCCAGCGTTGCGCATGGTAAACGGTTTTGTCTCCCTGCTGGAGCTTTCCTGTACTCTGTCGGTGCTGTCAGCTGATTTACACAAAAACTGCTGGCTCCCCACTTTTTTTTTTTGTCGGCGAGATGAATGCTGCTGTTCCCCGTGTAGCAGCGGCGGCGGTGTGGCCTCAACGATCAGCATGCGTGTTGTTGACAAAGCTTTTTAACTCTTCCAGTAATGGACTATATAGAGGCTGTTATTCAGAGGATATAGTTTGCTGCATGAAAAGCTTGATGCGTCCGTATGCTTACCCATCTTTAATATGTAACTCACTCTTAAACATATATATGTAGTTGTGTAGGCGGTGTAGTATAATGATGCATGGGGTTAA